TGGAAACAGAAAAAAAGCGTTCAGTTGAAGAGAGTCTCAAGCAAGATGTTACCTCCAGTGAAAACAGAGAGAGACTAACTCCTGTTTGCTGTGTTAAGAGGCTGGATGCCGCGCATTAAACTAGTTACTTTACCATCAATTATGTTCAATAATTGTTAAAATGACTAAAAAATTGAATATTAAACTTGTAAAATTATTGAATAGCATAAACTTCTTGATATTTACTAAAATAGTAAGGAATTTAAGCCCTAGAACCGATTAATGTATTGGTGGACTGATACTAAAGCTGGTTGCCCGGTCAGTGCAAGCGAAAACATGTTGAGGTTGGTTCATAAGAACTTCGGTAACCGAATTTCTTTTCGTTAACCGAATTGAAGATCCTTATGGAAGGCAGTTCGTTAATCGAAATTACGTTAACCGAGGTGTTCGTTAAACGAGTGGTCACTGTGTATATATATGTATATATATATATATATATATATATATATATATATATATATATATATATATATATATATATATATATATATATATATATATATATATATATATATATATATACTTCATTTTTAGTCCATATAACACGCGGACTTTGAACATATAATCAACGACCTCACCAGCAAGGAATCGAACCCTCGACCTACTGGGTGTGACTAGGGAACGCTTACCGGCTAGGCCACAAGGACACTAAAAGCAGTTCTAGACTCTGTTATATTTCACACAAAGCCTGTTCAACGAGCTGATGGCGCCGTGAACCTCAATGGGAAACTGCCCGTGCCTCTTATGTGGTGTCAGTAGCATTTTACCGAATCCAGCTGGTATGAAACGCGAGGTACATATATATACAAGTATTCATTTTAAAAGTTTATTTATCGATACATAAATTTTGTTGAGTAAATTTGGAAACATCAATATGATGTGAGTCAGGTCATCTACACACAGTTGCCAGTTCAAAATTTTCCTTTTAAAATTTAAGTTACGAGTATTTCTTTTCCCAAATGCGTTTTACAATACCATGGGTAAAAACAGTATATATGTACCATTCCCAGAAAAAAAAAAAAATTAACAAATGGAGAACGCAAAATACTAAAAAAAATGCTGTCTGACACAACACTGTTGAGTGGGTCAGGTGTAGTTCTCAGTACCTGCAGGACCCGGTAATCAAATTTATTAACAATATCGCCTCCAATTACTGTAGTTTATCTGATGTAGGCAATATGAAGTAAAAATACCAGTTAAAGTGAAGAGAATTGGAAGAAATAAACAGAAAATGTTGGGCTATTTTTGGTAGGGCTAGAGAAGTACCAGCTGTTTGTGATGTTTTTTTGGCGGAAGTCACGCAAATATCCGTGCTAGTATTTGTTTGGTGTTCCTGTATTTTTGAAAATGAATGCCCTTAATTAAAAATGCGTAACATTGTATTATATAAAACTTGTCATATTTCTGGAAAATAAGAAGCAAGAAAATAAGAATACGCGGTAAACTTCAATTTCAGCGTCTCGCTAAAATTAAAGCTGCTTAAGAAGACGCGATGCAAACACAAAAGCTCCGACCAGGGCTCTACCCGTATCCAGCTAGGCAGTACCGCGTGTTTTAAGATAGTTTTCAGTTAAAAAAGCTTTTACATCACAAGTGAATTGGATAGAATATTATTGTAATATAACAGTTTTAACTGAAAACCATTCAAAAAGCGATTCTGATAACATCTTGGCAGGAAACCTTGGCGAGTCATTGTTTTTTGTCGATTTTATCCCACTTTCCACTATATCATCACGTCATTTTCAGCAAAATATTACATTTCTGTTCTCCAGAAATAAATAAGTTTTGCACAAGCGTAGTATGACTCAATGTAAATTAGGATAAACTACATGAAAACGAAGACTTTACCAAACCTTCGATGTTCAAGATATGTTACTGCATTTTTAATAGTTTTCGGTTAAAATACTGTTATATTAGTATTCTATTCATACTGTGGTTGATATAAGCCATATGAAATGTAATATTTTTTGCTGAAATGACATCGTATTACAGTGGAAAATTAAGGATAAAATTGTGATGAAAACAATGACTTCGCTGTTTACCGTTCAAAAGATGTTACATAAATACTTTTCAGATGGTTTTATTAAAACTGTTGTATTGTATTACAATAATATCCTAATTGACTTGAATAAATATTACGATGCCATATTTCTGAATAATATAAATTTAAAATCCATCAAATCCCATTTTCCTTGTTATAAATCTGCAGCACAAACAGCTTCTCCCAATTCTCTCTCCACTTGACAAGAACACAAAATTTGCGTGTTTTTGAATCGTTTTCAGTTAAAAAACTATTACATCCTGCGTATATTTTCTAAACTAGCTTGAATGAATATATTCCTCAAAATAAATATTAGTTTTGCTGAAGCGTGATATGCCAATGTAAAATAGGATAAAATACATTAATAGAAATAAAAGACTTTACCTAAGCTTCCGATGTTCTTGAAATATTCGTTTTTTAATAGTTTTTAAGTTAAAACCATATTTATATTACAATGATATTCCCTAGTACATACTGTGCTTGATATAATACCTTCCACCCGGAAATGTAATATTTTTACTGAAATGACATCTACATACCGATGGAAAGTGGGATAAAATGCGTGGCGAAAACAATGACTTTTGGCTTTGTTTCGTTCAAAAAGATGTTACCGTAATCACTTTTCGAGAATGGTTTAGTTAAAAAACTGAGCATATTACAATAATATTCCCTCCTAATTGACGAATAAATACTTGAATGGAAATATACAATATTTTATTGAAACTACCAGCGTTTCAGTGTAAGAGTATAAGTAATAATAAATAGTAAACAAGTTTATAGGAATGTATTATTTCCTCTGAAGGTTGTGTTGTTCTTTACCCTCAAAAACTTAGATGCGACCTATAAGCGAGGAATACCATAAATTAAACGATTTCTTGGTCATAAAATAAAATTGAAGCCCTATACTCTGAAAGGGGGTTATGAAGCCAGTATATACGGTATATATTATATATATATATATATATATATATATATATATACACACACACACACAGTTGTACCCCACTTAGCAGCGGTCAATAGAACCCGGGTCCCGCGTTAAGTAAAATCATGATTAAGTGAACAACAGAACATATGGGATTAATTCCAATGAAACCAGCACGACCCCCAAACTCCACTTTTGAAGACACATAACTATGTTGTAGTAAATAACATCTTAATTTTGATGGTACATGCACACAATTAATACTTAAGAGAAATAGAAATACAGTCGCAAGTTAATGTCCATTCAAATAATGGACTCAACCCCTCCCCTCTCTCACACTACACTGCGGCTCTTCCCTCTCTGAGAAATTTTGGGGAAAACCACTAAATTTTAATAAATAATACCTCAAATAAAGTTAGGATAATACAATTGACATTGCTGGATTCTTGTAAGACCAGGAATATTTTGAATATAAATGTCATATATTTACAAAAAGATAACATATTACTCAGAAAAACATTTTATCTAAATTTGTATGTCTAATGCAAAAATATGATGTTTATATTCAAAATGATCACCAAATTATAAAATTCCAGCAATGTAATTATATTCTGGCGAATTTGTATGAATTTTATGAGCTAAAACAAATTCTTCAGTTAATAAAAAAAATATTCTTCACGACACTATCTGCAATCAAAGTACCCACCTTGCCTCCCCCTCTTCCAACCATGCGGTCAGTCCCAACCCTCCCCCCAAATCCTTCCTTCAAGAGAAAAGTGGTGAAAAAATAATTTTAACATTTGTATTAAATAATACCTCAGATTAGAGATTAGATAATATAGACCAAAGATATTTTGAATATAAATGTCATATATTTTGCACAAAAGATAACATATTTACTCAGAGAAACATTTTATCTAAAATTTGTATGTCTAATGCAAAATATATGATGTTTATATTCAAAATGATCATCAAATTATAAGAATTCCAGCAATGTAAATTATATTCTGGCCGGGTAATTTGTATGAATTTTATGAGCTAAAACAGGCAGTCAGGCAGGGTGGCGGGTGGGGCAAATCTAAAAATAGCGTCTCGAGCCGGACACTCACAGCGTATATGTGGAAAAAATCCGTGTTAAGTGAAAGTTCAGCTCTGGCGAGGCACCGCGTATATGAAAAAACGCGTTAAGTGAAACCGCGTTAGGCGGGGTAATACTAATACATACACAGCTAGACCCCGACTTACGACTACATGGGCTTACGTCCATTGGTACTTACGACCTGCTTTGACCGTACATCCGTACGGGACATACGACTGCGACCGTCGTGACCAAAAATATTTTCAAATGACGCGCGCATTTTCTATACCGAAACGTTTCCATCCCGGGCGAGAGGGAGGGGTGTCTTGGGTCGCCTCATGGGTACAAGGCCACAAGGCTCTGATTCGCATCATCCTAAACATTTCCTCAATGTTATTACAGTTAATCTATATACTGTACTGTATACATGTCCAATAGTTACTGTATCCATCTGAGGGTATGTGAAGAGTTCCCCACACATTCCTATCCAACTCCTTTCTTTCTCAAATACTGTACTCTTCATATGTGAAAATGGGGATGCATTCCTGGATCCCATAAATTCTTGCATAACCACAATTTTCTTTTTTACAAAGATAAGTCTTTTGTAAAAGATTTAAAGGTTATCCTACACCTTCCAAACCCCAAACAGAAATATTCACATTACTTTTACTATGCTTCTGCACCAAGGAATTATTAAAAAAAAGAAAAAAAAAATGCTAGTATTATCTTATACTGTACCCTTTCTTTTTCATGAGAGGCATCTCTCTATCAACGACCTTGGTTCTCTATCAAATTTTTGGTTTAAAGTACAGGCTGATCTTTAATGTGCAATGTCAAGGATCTGTTGTAATTCTAATACATGTACTGTACTGTATTGTACAGTACTGTACACTCATTGCTCAAAACATCAAATTCACTTACATCAAGATTTGTTGAGCCTGTGTTGTGCTTGTTATATCCTCAACTATGTTCACATCATGTTGCTGACATAGTGCATGTTTTCCATTCCTGGCCAAAGATCTGGGAGTCAATTCTTTCTCTGGTGGTTGTTGAAATTTGACGTGTCTTTCTGTATTTTTATCACTGACTGATTCTTCCTGGAGATCTGTGGCACCCAGTCTTTTCAACAAGTTTGAGGCAAATACACCATTATTCAACTCCTGCTGTATTTCCTTCAGGTTACTATGGCCATTCTGAATACCAGCTTCTTCTTGAGATATAACTGAGTTATGTGTTCCTAAACTAAAAATGTCATTTGAGATACATCTCTGACTAGGGGCAATACAAGAGACAGATGAAAACGGTGTAATAGTCTTTGATGATATTTGGTGTTTCTGGGGAAACAAAGGATCACTGGTTGAATGAACATTTGAACCACCAGATGCAACATTTTGGCTCCCAATACCAATGTTTGTACTATCAGACGATTTCCAACCAAGGCTGGGACCTGGGTCTCTGTTAGGAGGTACTAAAGACTTTGAATACCTCAGAGAGTCGATATGAGAGGTACAATCTGCTGCAGAATCTTCACCAAGTTTTTCATCTATAGACTTCAGTAACTCATTTAGTAAGTGTCTGTCACTCAATAGGTCACAGTTTTCCTGCAAGGCAAACTTTACATCATCAAGGGATAGACTGGTCACAGCAGGAACCTCTCCATTTGAAGCAACAGACACTGTAGAGTTAATGTGGCAAGATGTAATAATTGCTGTTCCAGTTGATAGTTCATCAGCATGTGATTGTTCATTGCTACTACTTTCAAACTTTAATTTTCCTTCATCAGAATTTCTAAGTAAACCAACAGATCCAGAGGGAACAGTTGGAGTACTGAAATGTACACTCACACTTCCCGTTGCTGCAAGTGTATCTACTTGTGTATTACACAGCATATCTTTTTTAAATCCTTTACAAATATTTGAACCAAGAACTGTGTCTTCATTCTCAATTTCAGAATCTGTGATATCAGAAGTTATACTTATGTCAGCAAGTTTAAACCCTGATGGAAGTGACATCATTTCACTGCTCTGTGATAAGTCCAGTGGCTGGTCTGCCGATGACAAACAGTCCTCACCATCATGAATTTCTTCCTCATCCATCTTACAAATGTTTTGTTTGTATCAAGAGACTTCAATGTCCATCTACATTATGGCTCAGGAAATGACATATGTAATTCAAAGGTACAATCCTTCCACTCTTGAATCTTGTATCTAACCTGGACTGCAACATCTGCAAAAATTGGTTAAATTCATTAAAAATAGCTGAAGAAGATAAATGTTAAGACAACTTTATAACAGGTACAACCTCTCCTTAACTTTAAGGTACCTTGGCTATTTAATGCAAGAGCTTACATAGCCAGGTACCCCCACTTTCATAACATTTGTTATTTATATGATATTTACCAGTGTAGTACAGTATGTTAAATTGGCAATGTTCCATGTGTGGTTTGGAGTTACAGATATAACAATTTGTGATAAAAATACTGAAATCCGTTTTTATTAACCAAATAATATCATCACAGCAAATAACACGTGGAAAGAAAAGATAAAGGACGACTCAATATATGACAAGTTACCACCATCAACTATACTATGCGACCTAGCAGCAACTATTTAGTTTTAAATGAAAAAAAATGAATATGCTAATAGATATATAGGATATCAATTATGAAATGCTGAGAGAGAACCCTTTGCTCATTTTAATACTCGACTGGCCATCTAACTAGAAAAGACACATGAGGAAAATAGAAATGTAATTACAGTACAATACTGTACAATATTGGAAAAATTTGATATGAAAGATATAAAACTGAAATGAAAAAGAATGCATTATATACGGTACTACATTACTGTATTGTATGTAGTTTATGGAATAAGAGATTTTTTTTTAAAGGAGCTCAACATATAGCCAAATATAAAAACATATATGATCAATAGTTACAGGAGGTGCCACTGCCCATCACCACAACATGAAATACCAAGTAATTGTGATTGTTATTTGGCAGAATCAAACATCATTCTTTTTTTATATTTACCCAAGTAAGATGTATAGACTCAGGAATATAAAAAAAAGGGAGGAAGGGGAAAAGGGCGCTGTAAGCCCCTCCAAGATTTTTTGGGGGAACTCTGACCAATATCATGGGCATTTTGAGGCCATTTTGAAGCCATTTGCATGTGATATTAGGAGATATTCTGAGGTCAATAGTACTGTACAGTAATTACTTTTTACTATCCAAAAATGTCTGAGTACAACACTGCACTAAAGAAAAAGTATTGTAATTTTCTGATGAAAAAAAAAGGGGGGGGTCCGGACTCCAGGACCCCCCTGATCTGCTCCTGGTATACTGAACTGTATTCAAATCCAATACCTCAAAGTCCTTCCACTAGATTTAAATTACAGTACTGTATATACATTAAACAAATTCAAGATTGGTGCACTTTATTTTATCCTCTTCACCACTGGTCAGCTCGTTAGCTGCTTAGACAAGCAAATTTTGGAAAAAACCTTATGAGAGAATTTATTTCCCATTTTTTAAAAAAAAAAGTTTGGAGGAATTCCAACATTCCTACTTTTACCTTTATGGTTAATTTGTTGACACACTTCCCAGCGAGTGATCTTCATGCTAAGCAACTGAATGTGGCGAAGATGGAACAAACGGTTAGCACCTGAACACGTTTATATATCTCGTTCATATTTTTCACAATTGTTATTTGGATGATACCGAGTAATAAAAATGAAATGACAGTATATTGTAGTATTTTTTCTTCTTTTTAGCCTATCCTTTGACCATAAATTACTTGTTAGTGGGCAGGGCATGAAAGTAGAGGGAAATAGCGGGGTAAAAACACTATAAACACTGATCACATGGCATTAATTTCGGTATTATTTTAGTTTCGGTCATCTGAAGAATCGGTTAGGTTACGTTGGGTTCGGTTAGTCTGGATATCTAACAACAGGGATGACCGAAACTAAAATGTTACCATAATTTCATGTCTCTATGTACTTGTAGGCAAAGAAATAAATTATTTACTGTAATTATGGTACTGTCAGATCTCCCATGGCAACCATGTTTTAGTTTACATCATCTGCTATGAGGGTGCATATGTGGTCTTTGTTTACATGTCCAGAAACGAATGACGATTACATTGAGCGTGTATATTACGATTTATATTGGATTAAATTAATTCATTTTGGCCAATTTGCAGTTTTGACCAACAACGGCTCTTGAGTTGAGCAACGAGTTTTTCCAATGGTTTAGACAATTTTAAGACACTTTTCTTCTACGATGTTTCCCTCGCAAATGACTCAAATATACCGAGGGATCCAGAGGAGCTGAGCCCTCCAGTTAGAAGGTTAGGTTTGGTAATTTTAGGTCAATTGTGAGGGAAACGTCACAGAAGAAGAGTGTCTTAAAATTGTCTAAACCATCGGAAAAACACATTACTCTACTCAAGAGCCGTGATTGATGAAAACTACAAATTGAGCTTGAATTTTTCTAGACATGTTGTTTAGATGATAATAAGTAAGACAATCGCAATGAAAATGCACAGGTTAGGAAGTTAAGCGAAGTTTGGTAGTTGAGGTATGTTAGGTATGGTAAGGTAACATTAGGTCAGGTTTCTAACAGGTTCTGTGCAGTATCATTTTGATTTTCATAGTAATCATCCAACCAACATGTCTAGAAAAAATGGTGCAATTCCATAAAGTCATTCTGGTACTGACCGTCTGCTCTGCCATTACCCTGAATGCTTCCCAGCATAATTTCCATGTGAACTGTTTACAAAATAATCTCATAAACAAACAAGGTAATCTTGTAGGCAGTAGATATTTTGCCATGACTGGCTAATTTCCTACTTACACTATTTTACCATGAGTGCGCTCTGATTGGCTAATAGTCCATTACCGGCAAGCAACACAGGCACTCTATTTGACCGTGACTGGCGGCATTTGGTATTTATTTTGTCGTGAGTCAATTGCTGTGTAGCTATAAACATATCTAACCATATTTCTGTTGTGCATAGAAACTACTAACAAAAATAGAGATAGAGATTTGTTTTAGGTCTAACATGGAATTTCATATTTCTATTTATATAGGGAGAAAGCAAAAAATAAATAAAAAATAAACAAATAAAAATATTCTATTACATTTCTGGCACAAATTTATATTTTTTCGAGTATTTTAACTGATAAGACCTCCACAATTACCAACAATATTGCTTGATAAAGTGGGCAGTAGTGGGAAAATGTGGGGTAAAATATAAAGAGAACACCAAACAAACCTTTGAAAACCTTTCCTAACCTTACCTAACTTGTAAAAAGGTAAAAAATATGGTAATGTCTGAGAACACCACTACCACTGTTCATTTTTCCACAGATGTTCTTATTATTATAAAAGAAGCAACATTTACTATAACCTAATAAAACCTGATCTAACCAACCAAAGAAACCTACCTAACCTTACCTAACTTCCTAACCAATCAGAGCTCACTAACGGTAAAATAGCATTAGTAGGAACTTAGTCGGTCATGGCAAAATATCCACTACTTATCTTGTATTTGATGGGCATAAATTCACACATCCTTTGGCTTACATTTGGCAACTCTAGGAACTTCCAGATGTAACAGAAATTGCTACGTTATATAATTTAATCAGGTTGATAATAAGGCCAGACCACTCTTGTTATGCAAAATCTTTGAACAGCTTTCTTCGGCCATCATTGGTTAAAATGATCTAACATACAGTTTATCACTGTCTGTACAGCCACTGTATAATGTACAGTACTGTACAGTTTTGTTCAAGATTCTTTGAACACTGCTGGAGACAGCTGGCAACTCGAGGCCGTTTGTTTACTATAGTACGTAGTATAATAAAATACTAAACAACAAAGCCCAACCATTAATTAAGCAATGGGGAACTAAGTAACCAATCACCAATCACTTTTACATTTATTCATAATTTTTACTACGTACTATGGTAAACAAATGGCCTTGAGTTGCCAGCTGTCTCAAGCAGTGCTCAAAGAATCTTGAACGAGACTGTACATACTAAACCGGTGTAAACTTGTGTCACAACTTTATTAAACATCTCCCGCATATCCTTCAAACAAACTACTATTACGGTGGCGATTTCTGAACACATCTCTACTGATAATTACTTGGTAAATTTACAGTAGTCATCCAGTATGCATTTTTTAATAGAAAACTAGGTAAACCTTTACTTAAATGCTGTGACCGATTTCGCCTTTAATGTTTTTCCGATAGTTTAAAATTTGTTAAGACACTTTCTTCTCTGATGTTACCCTCACAAATGAACTAAAATTACCTAATGTGACCTCCTAACCTGGATCCCCCCATATATTTAAGTAATTTGCAAGGGAAACGTCACTGAAAAAGTGTCTTAAAATTGTCTAAACTATTGATTGCGGTTAATACACAGGACTAACCCACCGGTCTGTATAGGACATATGCGGCTGTATCATCTCACGTCCAGAAATGCCTCAAATTTCATCATATGATAGTAAGTTCTTTCTGTTTAATGTGCAAAATCAAGAAGTTAGTTCAGCTCATATAGCTACGGCCCAAAACTCCCTCCTGGATAACTAACAATTACTATCACTATGACTACCAGAATACACAAATAGTTCAAGCGTTAGCATACAGAGAGCTGACATAAGATCTATACAGCCTTGAACAAAGACTCTTGTAAACACAATCCCTGTACACAAGACTGAACCTGGAGGTGGTGGTGTTTACACTTTCAAAAATAAAAAAATAATCTATTCCGGGTTGTATTTCTCAATCAAAGTTATAAATAATCGTATAATCACCATGAACTCAGAATTTTAATTTTTACAGTACATCGAAATTTTTTCACTTTTACAGTATCTTGTTTCACAGGGGATAGAATGCATATATCCCTTAAGTTTATAAAATACATCCACGAGTTTAGGATTATTTGTTAGTGATCCGGCAAGGTGAGTATACACTGTGATTTGGCGGGGAAAGTTTAAAATAGTTGTGAGTTTCTTAGTCCTTTCTTTTTATCATTTTCACCGCTTATCAGCTTACTAGCCGTTTGGGCGGTTGGTCTTTCCAGTGTTAGTACAGGAGGAACCCGTAGTCCGAGAAACCTGTGATGTCTTGGCTGGGTTACACCAAGGACCTTGGGTTACACTGAATAACACCTTTCTTAAGTGTGTCTGGGCTAGGCAGGATTCGAACCCTTGATATATTAGTGAAAGATACGAGCGTTAACACGAATAAGTGCATTGCACTCGTTATGATAAGCTTGAAATTATTATTTGTCCTCAGACTGATACTTAAATCAGTTTCGAATAGAAGATGGAGAATGTTCTAAAAAAACATACAGAAATAGTAAAAATAAATCAAAACTGTGTCCATTTCTCTTTTAATGAACTTTGAATCTTAAATACTGTAAGCAGGTTTAAATCATAATTAATATGAAAGTTTATATATATATATATATATATATATATATATATATATATATATATATATATATTATATATATATATATATATATATATATATATATATATATATATATATATTATATATATATATATATATATATATATATATATATATATATATATATATATATACTGTATATATATATATATATATATATATATATATACTGTATATATATATATATACACACACACATATATATTTCTGCAAGTAAATCACTGTAGTTGCGCGTGATCCAGGTGTATGCTTGTAGCGTACTGTGGTGTGGCTGGTAGTCAATTCTCTTTAGATGTCTATTTTCTCTGTATGGCCACACAAACGTACGTACATGTACTGTACTGTAGATATCTCACACTCAGGAATGAGGTAGAATAGAAACTCACGATGCGTTTTCTGTATATATATTGTTATACAGAGCAGTGCTAAGGAGTTACTAGGTGAGGAGTAGCTTGCTCAGAGTTCCTGTAGGGCGAGGAGCTTGTGGGGTATGAGATGTTTGGTTCACACTCAGGATGGGATGGAGAAAGGAAACTCACAATGTGCTCTCTATATACATGTTGTATTGGATGTACAATGCAGCTTGGTGCTGGGAAGGCAGCATGGTTACAAGCGTGATGTAGAGAGAGCTGGTTGGTGAGGACGCTCAGAGAAGGACAGCTTGTGGGTCGCCATGCTCGCCAGTGGGAGAGAGGACCGCCAGGCAGGCGGAGGTGTTGCTGGCTAGTTGGTGTAGGTAGAAAGAGAGAGACAGATCACCACGAGGTCAGGTCTTAAATAGCGGGGGTAGGCGTGGCTTAGCAGTTGACCCCCGCTCCGTGGTGTATGGCGGCGCTGGTTGACCTAGACCACGAGGCATACACTGGGGAATTGGTGGGGTCGGCTAGGCAGCGACAAACAGCGTTTGTAGGGGAGAATTCCACTACAATACTCCCCCTTCCCTCCAGGCTGTGTAGGAGACTTGTTGTCTGCAGAGTTGCATAGCACATGTGAGGCAGAACGGGCGGTGCGTGCCTCATGTGAGACAACGGCGATGGCGTGATGAGCCGGTCGCTGGATACAACTGTCTAGATACACAATATCTGTGGGAGTAGAGAGGGAGAATAAGGGTGTGTGGAGACGATGAATGTTGTGCTTCCCTCACGGCAGGTACAGAGTCGACAGATGCGCCTGCTGGGGTGTGTGGACCTGGGTCAGGAGCAGGGGCTGCGTCAGCAGAAGCGGATGAGGGCTCGTGACAGCAGCTGGGTCCACGACAGCAGCAGGGTGCAGGACATTAGCAGGGAGTACCTGAGGGAGAAAAGAGGGGTGTGTTGGTCCTCACTCAGGCGCATGGGCCGCGTCGAGAGCAGGGGCTGCATCAGGAGGAGTGGCAGGGGGCACTGCTGGGCCAGGGGCGGCGTCTGAGGCAGGATGGGTGTGTTGGGCTCGGTAGGACGTGGTGCTTGGGGCAGGAAGAGGAGCGGCTGTCTGCTTAGAGTAGCAGAGCTGCTCTAGGGTGTCTAACCTGCGGTGTAGAGACAGTAGCTGTAGAGCCGA